GAAAATATATCATTGTTTGGGGGTCTGAAGCTGTTTTCTAGCCAAAAATTCAGATTTTATCATGTGCGTGCAAATGGTAATTGGTTAATTTTTTTTTAAATCCGAATAATCGGAAAAATAGTTGGCCAACTAATCGATTAGTTGCAGCCCTAATACACGGCAAGTCTTTTGACGTACTGGCAGTGAGAAAATAAACAGACAAATACAGGATAATAAAAACTTATAACCTTTACTGAAATGTTGTGTTATTGTGATAAAAAGGAGCTAGGTCAGTATCATCTCCGTCCATTCATGAACCCCTCAACCTCCGGTGTTCCAACTATTGACTACAAGACATGCGAGTCTTCTCTCCCGTGTGCATACGCTGATGCCTGATAAGGGAAACCAGCCAGGAGAAATTACTCCCACATCCGGAACATGGATGCGGCTTCTCTCCGGTGTGAGTTCTCTGGTGTGAAATATGATTCTGCGCAGTGTAAAAACATCTTCTACACTCCTTGCAGGAGAACGGCTTCTCTCCCGTGTGACTTCTCTCGTGCCGAATGAGATTGCTTTTCTGAGAAAAACACTTCCCGCATTCCGGACATGAAAACGGCTTCTCCCCAGTGTGCGTTCTCTCGTGTTTAATAAGAACAGCCGATAGGGAAAACGACTTCCCGCATTCAGAACATTAATATGGCTTATCCCCCTTGTGAAGTTTTTGGTGCGTCATAAGAGACCATTTGGAGGAAAAGTCTTTCCCGCATTCAGAACATGAAGCTGTCTTCATTCCGCCGCGGGTTCGCTGATGTTCAGGAAGAACTTTGCTAGAGAAAAAAGACTTTCCACACTCCGAACAAGAGTGGGGCTCTTCCTCGGCGTGAGAAGCAAGATGGGCCTTCTGACATTTGCCGCAGTCAGCACAAGAGTGGGGCTCCTCCGCTGCGTGAGAAGCAAGATGGGCTTTCTGACATTTGCTGCACTCAGAACAAGAGTTGGGCTCCTCCGCTGCGTGAGAAGCAAGATGTACTTTCTGACATTTGCCGCAGTCAGAACAAGAGTGGGGCTCCACCGCTGCGTGAGAAGCAAGATGGACTTTCTGACATTTGCCGCAGTCAGAACAAGAGTGGGGCTCCACTGCTGCGTGAGAAGCAAGATGGACTTTCTGACATTTGCCGCAGTCAGTACAAGAGTGGGGCTCCACCGCTCCGTGAGAAGCAAGATGGGCCTTCTGACATTTGCCGCACTCAGAACAAGAGTGGGCCTCCTCCAATGCGTGAGAAGCAAGATGGGCTTTCTGACATTTGCCGCAGTCAGAACAAGAGTGGGGCTCCTCCGCTCCGTGAGAAGCAAGATGGACTTTCTGACATTTGCCGCAGTCAGAACAAGAGTGGGGCTCCTCCGCTGCGAGAAGCAAGATGGGCTTTCTGATATTTGCCGCAGTCAGAACAAGAGTGGGGCTCCTCCGCTGCGTGAGAAGCAAGATGGACTTTCTAACATTTGCCGCAGTCAGAACAAGAGTGGTGCTCCTCCGCAGCGTGAGAAGCAAGATGGACTTTCTGACATTTGCCGCACTCAGCACAAGAGTGGGGCTCCTCCGCTGCGTGAGAAGCAAGATGGACTTTCTGGTTCAAACATTTGCCGCTTTCAGAACAAGGGAATTTTTTCCTCTTCCTACGAGGTGTCCGATAGATGGGATGGAAGACATCAGAAAGGCACCTCCCATGTATAGGAGAACCAGATGACAGATCTGGATGGAAGTTTGGGGCAATGGGGTTCTCTTCTGAAGAATCAGATGTGATGTCCACATCTTTGGGTTTTTTTGCCACGTTATGCTTTCTGCCTCATCCATCTGTATGAAATAAGAAGTGGAAAATATTAGTGTATATGTCAAGGCAAAAACACATATCTTAGGTTTGGATAGATTAGGGAAGGGTTGGAACTTCTCTTGAGCTTTTACTGCTTTTCTGCGTTGGCTTTTCCCTCACATTCTATCCTGCTGACCGTGGTTGTACCACTGAGGAAAACCTGCAATAGGAACACAGACAAATACAAATCTGGAAGTAGAAGAAAGGTGTGGGCCACTAGATCTCTTGAAGTAGTAGATTTTCTTAGGCCTCATTCACGGGCTTTGGGACTGTTAAACAAAGTGTTTCTTACAAGACTGTGTTGCATTGCAGAGTATGGATCCCTCTATTGGGGGATAACATACTCTGCTTAGCCCCCAATAGATAATATTTTATTATAAATGATTACTATATTTCATGATTATTACTGACTTGTGTTGTCTTCTATAGGGATTTTCTCCTCTTTAACCTTCACATGTTCCTCCTCCTCCTCCTCCTCAGCTTTGACATCTCTCTGAGGGTCTCCGGGGTCTGTGAATAAAGATGAGAGTGAAGCCCCCTGTACTGAGATGTATGAGAGACCCCAGAGAGTGTGTGTGGGGGGAGACTGGTCATGTCTCTTGGAAAACAAAGTCTGGAATCATTGAAACACACACACACCAGGTAAGGCTCCCACAGGCAGGCTACTGAACAAACTTGGAGTGTCCAATGGTCAACCTACCTTTCCCTCCCCTATTCCTAATCCCCCCTGCCCCATTCATACCTCTCCCGTCCCATTAGTACCTCCCCCTACTCTCTGTTCTCCTGACCTCTCATAATGGCTTTCATTTATCATAAACTTAACACACTCCAAAAGTTGTGTCGCAACCACTCGACAGAAACACCAACTATTGCTTATAAAGAGAGATGTTCTACCTCCAAGCTAAAACCAAGCCCTGTGCAAGTAGTTATTACCATTCTCAGCGTTTGCTTAGTACCCGACTTCCTAGGGGGCGGGGCTATTACCTGACAGTCTGCTGCCACCCCATCCACCTGCCCCCAGAGTGTCTAGATAAAAATGTCTCTCCCCTTTGTGCTGTCTAACAAGAAAAGATCTTTACCCCTTGTCGTCCGCCCATTGTAAAAATATGGCGGATGCTTCCTGTAGGGTAGACGTACATGTAAGTGAATCCCGCCGGGAATGTAAACAGCCGTTACCGGCTGTTACATACAAGTGTTTGGCCAGCTCTACAGCCGACCAATCACTTGTATGACCCTGCACTGTGCGGGCCACCCTCTGCTGCCACTGCCAGTTATCCCGGGCACAGCTGTCCCCCTGCGGTGCCCGAGAGTACCGGCACAGCGGCTGCTAGTACAGATTAGGAGGAGAGATCAGCACTCTCCTCCTCTCTCTCTAAAGGCGGAAGCGATGTCTATTACATCACTTCCGCCTTCAGCTGTCATTTCTCTGGCTGCTAAAGAGAAGAAGCTGGTGAAGCAGATCTGTGCTCCATCAGCTTCTTTGGGGGTCCCTAGGTGTCATTAGGGGTACTAGAGACCTCTGATGTCTCAATAAAGAGGACCTTTCATTGTATATTGGCCATCACATAGGGAGATTTTTAGCCCCCTATGTGATGGCAATCAAGTGTATAAAAAAGAGAAAAAAGTCTCATATTAAGAAAAACAACAAAGTTTGAAGTCCCCCGTGTGCACGCTCTTAGAAGGTAGTGTAGCGCCCTCTGATATGTCGCTACTAAATTTGGTATATATCTGGACTGTAATCAGTCTAGATGCTGTTTTGCTCTGAGTTCTACAGGTTTCCCCCGAGTTTGCTGGATTGATTGCTTTCCCCTGTTGCTGGGTTGAGGAGTCAGCAGACAGTGAGTGAGGATCTGTCCTCAGACTGTGCACCTGACTCTGACCAATCCCTGAGCAGGATGACTCAGAGGTACGGCTGAAGGCAGGTGATAAAAGGTTAGTGGACACTTTCCAGAACTCTCTCCCCCCTGGTAGGAGGTCTGTGTGATACGGATGCCTGGCATGGGCCTCGGCATGTGGTAGATGCTAGGGGCCTAGAGGCCTAAGATACTATAGATTCCTGGCTTTGGCTTGTGTCTATTTACCCGACGTGACCCCGCCTTTTATATTTTACCAAGAAATTGGGTAATAATGTTTTATAACGTAACAGAGGAAAAAGTTTTTTTGTTTCAAAATTTTTGGTCCTTTTTTCATTATATAGTAAAAAATAAACACCCCCCTCCCAGTGGCGATTAAATACCACCAAAAGAAAGCTCTATCTGTCCCCAAAAAATGGTATAAAATTCATTTCAGTACAGCGCTGCATGATGGAATAAATGTCAGTCAAAGTACCGCAGCGCTGAATACTGGAAAATGGCCTGGCCAGGAAGGGGGTGTAACACCCCGGTCAGCAAGTGGTTAAGGAAATGGGAGCATTTGTAATAGATGGGAACCTCTGGTATTCGAAAATAGGGAATCCCTATGTTTTGTTTTTCATGTACAGGTGATAGGAAAATAATGTTCATACACACACATAAGGGATGATAATACAATCAAGAACTTTATTGAACTTTGGCGTTAAGGTGATGAAAGAGGAGCCAGTTAAACAACATCAAGTCCAGTTGGTGAGACCCTCAGTGGCTGGAGTGTCAGCTCGGGTACGTGTCAGCTCGGGTACGTCAGTGACAAGACACGAGTCTTCCGATGGTGAGACCCTCAGTGGCTGGAGTGTCAGCTCGGGTACGTCAGTGACAAGACACGAGTCTTCCCATGGTGAGACCCTCAGTGGCTGGAGTGTTGGGCACGTCAGTGACAAGACACGAGTCTTCCGATGGTGAGACCCTCAGTGGCTGGAGTGTCAGCTTGGGTACATCGGTGACAAGACACAAGTCTTCCCATGGTGAGACCCTCAGTGGCTGGAGTGTCAGCTCGGGTACGTTGATGACAAGACACGAGTCTTCCCATGGTGAGACCCTCAGAGGCTGGAGCGTTGGGTACGTTGATGACAAGACACAAGTCTTCCCATGGTGAGACCCTCAGTGGCTGGAGTGTCAGCTCGGGTACGTTGATGACAAGACACGAGTCTTCCCATGGCGAGACCCTCAGTGGCTGGAGTGTCAGCTTGGGTACGTCGGTGACCAGACACGCGAGTCTTCTCATGGTAGATAAGATATAAAAGACAAAACATTTCCTGAGCTCCTAACAGGAAGACGGCTTCTTCCCCGTGTGTACACTGTGATGCCTGATCAGAGACCTTTTACAGGAAAAGCGGCTCCCGCACTCCGTACATGAATATGGCTTCTCTCCGGTGTGAGTCCTCTGGTGCAAGCTGAGTTTCTGTTTGCTGGAGAAGCACCTCCCACATTCGGAGCAGGTAAAAGGCTTTTCCCCCGTGTGACATCTCTGGTGCCTGATAACACTGTCTTTGAGGGGGAAACATTTCCCGCATTCGGGGCACGAAAACGGCTTTTCCCGCGTGTGCACGGGTTGGTGTCGCATCAGGGCCCGCTTCCTGGGAAACGATTTCCCGCATTCGGAACAAATGAACGGCTTCAATCCCGTGTGAGTTCTCTGGTGCATTACGGCGGTGGATTTCTGTCTGAAGCTTTTCCCGCATTCGGGGCAAGAAAACGGCTTCTCTCCGGTGTGTATTCTCTCATGTTTGATAAGACTGGACACCAGGGAGAAGCACTTCCCGCATTCCGAACATGTGTACGGCTTCTCCCCCGTGTGAACCCTTTTGTGTCTGATGAGAGAACCTTTCGAAGTAAAACTTTTGCCGCATTCAGGGCACGAGTATGGTTTCATTCCGCTCTGATCTTCAGTAGGAACTTCTCCAGAGGAAGGGGAACCAGGAATGGCTTCTCCCTCTCTATGAGCCGTTTGCTGGGTGGCAGGTTCAGGAAAACCCTTTCTATGTGTTGAGGGACCAGATGTCAGATCTGAACCTCGAGGTGTTGGATGGGAATTTGGCGCGGTGGGTTTTTTGTCTTTAGAATTTGATGCGATTCCTGTATTTTCTGTTTTAGCACGTGTCGTGTTATCTGCTCGGTATCGTCCATCTGTGTGACGAGAATGGAAAAGGTTTAACTACTATGCAATTCAAAACAACAGGACCTTGGACATCAGAAGGTGTAGATGTCATGAACTATAACCAAGAACAAGGATTCACAATCTTACACTATTATGATCTCGGTACAATGTCTACAAAATGTTATTAATTTATGAATTGTTCATGTATTTAGCTTTGGTTCCTCACCTGTGTTAATCTCTATAGGAACTTCCTCCTCTTTAATCCTCACATGTCCTTCCTCCTCGGCTTCTGAGATGTCTGTGAAGAAAGATGAGAGTGAAGCCCCCTGTACTGAGATGTATGAGAGACCCCAGAGAGTGTGTGTGGGGGGGGACTGGTCACGTCTCTTGGTTGGTAACACACAATGACATGATGTGAGGAGGAGAGCCGGAGTCTAATAGAAGCTGATGGCTCCTGACTCCCCCCACTAGACATATTCCGTCCCCCCATTACTGTCTACTGACAGAGGAGGGGGGAGAAGAAGAGATTGTTGTAGTGACTGAACAAGGAGAATCTGGGACTCTTCTCTGGATTTAGTGTTTATTACTCACCTGAACTGATTTCCTCATCCTTACAAGGCTCATCATTCCCCATATCTGTCTCTTCTTCTTCTTCCTCCTCTTTCACTTCAACTTTAACAACAATCAGGCCATCTGTAGGAAACACACACACTGACTGAATACATTGTTTCTATGTCTTTATATCAGAGGATGTGTGTATCTAGGGGGATCCTCAATACTCAAGACATGAAAGTCTCCTCTTACCCGGTGATGTGAGGGGCGGCCGGTTCTCCGTCATGACGTCCTTGTAGAGATCCCGGTGTCCTTCTATATATTCCCACTTGTCTCTCAGTCTTTGTATGCGAAATATAGAGTGCTTTATAAACCTCACACTGAAAAAAAACAAAGCTGATCTTTATTATAAACCTTACAAGCTGGTGTACATGGGGCTGAGTGTCACACATGCCTTGGTCTCGCAGGTAACAGTGTACATGGGGCTGAGTGTCACACATGCCTTGGTCTCGCAGGTAACAGTGTACATTGGGCTGAGTGTCACACATTCCTTGGTCTCGCAAGTAACAGTGTACATGAGGCTCAAAGTCTCACATGCCTTGGTCTCGCAGGTAACAGTGTACATGGGGCTGAGTGTCTCACATGCCTCGGCCTTGCAGGTAACAGTGTACATGGGGCTGAGTGTCTCACATGCCTCGGCCTTGCAGGTAACAGTGTACATGGGGCTGAGTGTTACACATGCCTTGGTCTCGCAGGTAACAGTGTACATGGGGCTGAGTGTCTCACATGCCTTGGTCTCGCAGGTAACAGTGTACATGGGGCTCAGTGTCACACATGCCTTGGTCTCGCAGGTAACAGTGTACATGGGGCTGAGTGTCTCACATGCCTTGGTCTCGCAGGTAACAGTGTACATGGGGCTCAGTGTCACACATGCCTTGGTCTCGCAGGTAACAGTGTACATGGGGCTGAGTGTCTCACATGCCTTGGTCTCGCAAGTAACAGTGTACATGGGGCTCAGTGTCACACATGCCTTGGTCTCGCAGGTAACAGTGTACATGGGGCTGAGTGTCTCACATGCCTTGGTCTCACAGGTAACAGTGTACATGGGGCTCAGTGTCACACATGCCTCGGCCTTGCAGGTAACAGTGTACATGGGGCCGAGTGTCACACATGCCTTGGTCTCGCAGGTAACAGTGTACATGGGGCTGAGTGTCTCACATGCCTCGGCCTTGCAGGTAACAGTTCCATGAGCAGAACAATACAAAAGCAGTTCCCAGACAGATGAAGACTCAGGCTTCCTCTGGTTCCTTATACATGTCCCATAGTTGAGGACTTTGTATAGCGTTAGGCACCACACTTTCCGAGGGGTGCCCCGATGCGGCAGTGTGGCTTCAACGTATATTTGCCAATATATGCAACACAAACGTAACCTGAGAAGTTAAACCGCGTACTTGGGGTTCTTGCTCGCTAGCGTAGTGTGCTGGGGATCCCTTGTGTATTGCTCTGTATATTGCCCTACCCACGTGCACCTTTTCCATTTCTTGCTAGTTCCATGCAGAAGCCTCAAGAACACCACCGCTGAAAATTAAAATTGTGTATAGCTGAAAGTAGAGGAGCTGAAACACATTATAACCAGACAGATGATGAGGTCCAAGAGCCTCTCCTCAAACTATCTCCTTCACCCCTCCTCTCCACCCTCACACTTCCCCTCTCCCGAATATTGTACCTCTCACCTCAACTGCGTTCTCTGAACACACACAAAGTCCAAACCTCCAGAACAATGGAGTACGGGCCTTCATATAAATCTCACCTCCCTCTCCCTCCAACTTCTCCTTACCTCTGGAGATATCTCCCCTAAGCTTGGCCCTCAACCATCTAACCATCCCCCTCCATACCCGGCACCCTCCTTCCTCTGACTGCAGCTGTTGCCCTCACGCTCTAATTTCGACTCCCCAGTTACCATGGACCCGTCCCCACTTCTCATGTGTCCTTTGGAATGGCTGATCGGTCTGTAACAAGCTTACCAATATCCCGACTTCATCCCCCTGACTTTTTCACCCCAAGCTCCCCCGAATTCTTAATTCTTCTCTGCCAATCCCTCCACTGGTTTCCATCCCCCACCTCTCTCCGCCAATCCCTCCACTGGTTTTCATCCCCTACCTCTCTTTGCCAATCCATCCACTGGTTTTCATCCCCCATCTCTCTCCGCCAATCCCTCCACTGGTTTTCATCCCCCATCTCTCTCCGCCAATCCCTCCACTGGTTTCCACGCCCCATCTCTCTCCGCCAATCCCTACACTGGTTTTCATCCCCTACCTCTCTTTGCCAATCCATCCACTGGTTTTCATCCCCCATCTCTCTCCGCCAATCCCTCCACTGGTTTTCATCCCCCATCTCTCTCCGCCAATCCCTCCACTGGTTTCCACGCCCCATCTCTCTCCGCCAATCCCTACACTGGTTTTCATCCCCTACCTCTCTTTGCCAATCCATCCACTGGTTTTCATCCCCCATCTCTCTCCGCCAATCCCTCCACTGGTTTTCATCCCCCATCTCTCTCCGCCAATCCCTCCACTGGTTTCCATCCCCCGCCTCTCTCTGCCAATCCCTGCACTGGTTTCCATCCCCCGCCTCTCTCTGCCAATCCCTGCACTGGTTTCCATCCCCCGCCTCTCTCTGCCAATCCCTGCACTGGTTTCCATCCCCCGCCTCTCTCTGCCAATCCCTGCACTGGTTTCCATCCCTTGCCAATCCCTCCACTGGTTTCCATCCCCCCCCATCCCTCCACTGGTTTCCATCCCCCACCTCTCTCCGCCAATCCCTCCACTGGTTTCCATCCCTTGCCAATCCCTCCACTGGTTTCCATCTGCCACCTCTCTCTCTGCTAATCCCTCCACTGGTTTCCATCCCCCGCCTCTCTCTGCCAATCCCTCCACTGGTTTCCATGCCTCGCCTCTCTCTCTCTGCCATTCCCTCCACTGGCTTCCATCCCCTGCCTCTCTCTGCCAATCCCTCTACTGGCTTCCAATTAACAACATACAAAGCCAACCACAACTCTTCCCCGCGCTACATCAGCGATCTCATCTCAAAATCTCACCCAAATTGTCCTCTCCCTTCTTCTGAAGACCTCCTGCTCTCCAGCTCCCTTGTCACCTCATCCCATGCTTTCCTTCAGGACTTCTCCACAGTCTCTCCCATGCTATGGAACTTCCTACCACAACCTGTCTGACCCTTTCCTACTCGGTCCACCTTCAGGCGATCCTTGAAATCTCAGCTCTTCAGGGAAGTCTACTCCATCTCTACCTAAAAAATTGAACGTCTGCTCCTTCAATCGGCTCATCCCTCACCGTTATGATCTTCTGTATCACCTGCCCTCCCGTTATATTATAAATTCTCATGAGCAGGGCCCTCCTAACCCTTCTGTATTGAATTGTATATACGACACAGGGGGCCAGACTGTGAAATGTACAACATGTATAATAGGCAGGAGGCAGAACAATGCCAAACAATGCAAACAGAGCGCAGGAGACCGGGGTCTGTAATATTCTGCTGGTCAGTGGGAGGGAAAATCCCCCCAAGTTGGTGTCAGGGTGAGGAAGTGTTAGCTGAATTGAAGGACATAGACATCAGTCCCCCTATAATGGAAGATAACCCCCACAGAAGAGCACCCAGGTGTTAGTGTATGTAGACGGTTCCACTTCCTGTCCACAGCACAGCTCCAAAATTAAACAGGTACTCAGCCCCGCCCCCTATGGTGCCACTGCCCCGCCCTCATCGCAAACAAGTAAAGGAACAACATTTCGGCCCTGACGGGAGGCAGATGCGACTCTGATGACTCACGGCACACACAGAGCATTCCTATCGGCTGAAGGAATGCATGTGTCTGTGCCAAGCTGCATATATCCCAGTCCACACAGAATGCTGGGACCCCCTTATCTCATAATAAGATATTATTACCTCCGTCTCACCGGGAACACATTGTGCAGCCTCACACCTCTGCACGAATATTCTTCCTCTCCTAACACTTCTTCCGGGCTTCAACAAAATGGCCGCCGTCTTTCCTTCACTTGGGAAACGTCTTCCTGTCACATGATGTAGAAGCGCCCTCTAGTGGCGGTGTTCGCCTCTACATTGGTATAAGAGCCTGAAGGCTTCCAAACGGCTGGGCGTTACTATGGCAACCACGAGGTTGCCGTGAAACGCACATAACGGAAGTAAAAGGAGAGTTTCCGGTGCGGGGGGGAGCACAGTGATGATAGAGAGGAGACAGGCTGGTGATTGATAATATCCAGCCTGAGCTAAAATAATAAATATTATAGTAAATAGGGTTGCCACCTGTCCAGGATTCACCCGGACAGTTCGGGTTTTGAATGCTGTGTCCGGGTTTCATGGAAGCAGAAACTCGGACACAAGATGTCAGACAGACAGGGGCAACCAAAATTAAGATAGGGGCTACTGGCTCCCCACTGAAAATAGTCTCAACTGTGATATTTACATATGAATGGGTGGCACTATTTACTTATGAATAAGCCATGACTCATTCTCCCCGAAAAATATTTGCGCGTCGCTAGAGTGTTCGGGTTTCGCTTGAAGAAAAGGTGGCAACCCTAATAGTAAATGATAATTTGTATTCTCTGTAGTGCTGCCCAGAGTACCCAGTCAGATTGTATGTGTCATTGGCCTAGAACAGATCAGGAAATGTCTGGTTGTCATGGGCAACACTCCAAAACTCATCTTTATACCCACATGTCTTTTATATTATGGCATAATAATCATTAACATTAGGAGATGAATTGAGCAGAAGTGTATCTAAAAGGCAAGGTAACATGAACCCACCCTGAAAGAAGTATAGAGTCCGCCATTGCTGACCACTAGGAATGCAAGCGGCCTGGCTGTCATCATCATCTAGAGTAGGAGGAGCTAAACTTTGACCCTCCAGGTGTAGTAAAACCACAAATCCCATTCTGCCTCTGGCAGTCAATGCTTGCGGCTGTCTTGCAATGCCTTATGGGATTTGTAGTTTAATCACTGGACCGCAGGAGGGTAGAAGTTCGGCATCCACCTGATCTCGAGGCTTCAATTCATTGACTTTGATAATAAGTTCTGATTTTATAATGGGACTTAAGCTGCTGAGCACTTTCCATAATGTACAAGTATGCACGGGGAAGACTCACAGTGGGTTCCGCCAGTAGATCGGCGAGGTCCACCAGATACTGGAAGGAGCCTTCGTAGGCCAGCTCCTGACAAAGGCTTTTTAACCTTCAAGCAGAAGCCGTTCCTAATCCGGTGCGAGCGAATGCAGATTTAGGGGAACGTTCACACCAGATGCAGTGCGTTCCGGCCCGATTCTGGTCAGAACGCACTGCATCGCATTGCGGACGGCTCACTATTTTGTGGGGCAGGAGGGGGGCGTGGTGGGCCCTTGAAGTGAATGGCATCATAGCCACGCCCTCCGGCTGCAATGCGATGGATCGCAAGGCACATTGTGCCTGCGTTCCGGTCCGGTGCGATAAAAATAGCGCTCGGTGGATGTTCCTGAATGGTGTAGAGAGTAGATTTGATCTTTATGAAGTCAGTAGCATTGTCTGCCGCCTGTGAGTCCAGCTGAATGTAACAGCACAACGTTTTCCCAGCACGCTCACCAGCCAGCATGTAAAAAAACACTTGTCTACCGCTAAGGTCAAAAACAGAGGTTTAGATACACGTCTTCTGCAGAAAATGTGAAAGCCGCACAGCCGCGTCAAGGCACCTCTATATAGTGCGGTCCTAACTCTGAACTATCAGTCACAAGATTAAATTGGGTGCAGGTTTGTCAGGAGGAGGCCCAACCTCCCTTAAAGGCACAGGTACGCACAAGGGACCCCACACATCACAACGCCAGCTGAGACACCCCCCCTACCCCCCCCAATGCGCCACTGCACCAAATCAGTCAAGCAAAACAAATGGCAAACGCACCCATCAATTCGTCAAGGTGTAGTGACGCATGGGGGGTGATTGGTCTGATTGAGCTGATTGGTCGCCTTGGACAACTGCTCAAGATTCTGTTGGCTCCAATTTGAAAAAAGTCCCTCTACGTGTTTCCTTTCTCACACTAAACAGCTTACCCTCCTTAACCCCTTCATGACCGGTGACGTAGTGTACGTCGCTGGCATCGGGGCCGTTTAAAAAGACTCCGCCGGGACTCTGTTTAAACTTGTAAAGCCGACTGTCAGCTTTACAGTAGAAACGATTGTGGCGGCTCAGCTGCCACCACATCGCTTCTACGGGCCCCTGCCGGACACCCCCGCTGTGTTTCCCGGGCTCCGTGGCCCGTTTTACAGGCCTGGGACTGGCTTCTCTGGCGTCGGAGGAAAGCTGGGGAGGAGATTGGTGAAACTCCGTTCACCGATCTCCCGCCATACCATGGGACCGGGGGCTATGCAGATGACATCACTTCCGGTCCCATAGCGTTCACTGCTGGGCTCCTGAAGCCAACCAATAAGCTATTGAAGTGCGATCTGCACTTCAATAGCTTATTTAGAGTGTAAAGGTGACACGAGAGAGTGGAAAACCCAATGGAGTTTGTGATGGGGAAGGAGTATGTGGTAGGCTAGGGGAGCGGTATCCATATGTAGATGTGGTACGGGGCAGCCAGTTGTGGGAGTGGGATGGAAGCCGCATGGTTAGTTGGGTGGAAGTAGGAAGGGTATGTGGGCATGGGTAGTGTTGGACAAGGATATGTGTGAGCATATTGGATGGGAGGTTGGCGAGAGGGGGTGTAGTTTGAACAGGATCCACCCTCGGCAATGAAGGAGATGAGCCTCATGAGCCCAGTTCTTAATTCATACGGCCGTTCTTCTGGCACCATTTTCATATTGTCCTCCAGGCTCAGGAGGACAGCTTGGGTGCCAAGTGGGCCATGAGCAAAGACACAAGGTCGCTCTATGATGCTCTGACGCACCCCTCCTTTTCTTGCCCTGCAAACTGACCAACGGCGAAGAGGGTGTTGTGATGGTGCTGTTGGGGTTCTGGCCTCCGCAGGGGCTGGTTGGGGAACACTAGTGGAGGTGCTTGGGCTGGCCTCCTGCTCTTGGGAAGCTAGTGCCACCTTATTTTGCTGGCCTGCAGCATCCTCCCAGCTACTTTCGATGCTGTAAATAAGAAAGCAGATATCAAACAATGTGTCCTTCACACTTGCAAACAGGGCAGACCTGCACATTGCAAAAGGCATGAACCACCGAATAACAGTCATGTGCACATACAGTAAGTGGCGGCCCTGGAGCATTAGACCTTGCTTACACAGAGGGGTTAGACAAAGAGTCATTATAAAGCCTCTTGGCAAGGGTAGAAAGGGTACCCAAAGGCTGTTTGGCAAGTACAGGGAAGGAGGGGGGGGGCTAAAGAGGTCTGTTGTGTCCCCTACCAGCAGCGGAAAAAAATGCTTTGTAAAGACATAGAATGTAAGTATAGTGACACCTAGACAGAGTGAGCACCGGAGCCGAGGAGAAGAGGTATTAGAGGGTACAGAACTGAAGGAAAATGTCCTTCATCAAATGACTAGTGGCCTGATTAGGAGGGACACAAGATTTTTAGTGGGGGGAGCGATTCCATCCATGCCCAGCCATCTTTCAGTAGCAGAGAGCCCCCAGAAAAGCTAATGACCAACAAGTAAAGAATGCTAATAGAGGTCCTTACTTAGGAGGAGGAGTGGAGGCTGGTGAAGAGCAACCTAGGCATCTGAAGACCCCAGTACACCAAGAAGGCTTCAAACAACAGTGTACCATAATGAGCCCTCAAGACGCGGAGGGTCTGGTGAGACGCCCATGGATGTATTATGAAAAGCTGTGTGTGTAGTATTTGTTGCAGTGAACAGCTGAGTTCCCAGTCAAGGCATCTTGGTATTAGCCCTGCCACCTACGCCACCCCTCCCCCCATGTCAAATGTCCAGAGAAAGCAACTCTCCCCTTTGTCTCACAAGAAGGAAACTGGAGTATGTGTAAGAGTTGGGAACCTCTAGTATTCACACATGTAGAACCAGTGAGTGTGGTGATGTCCTGCTGGTGATAGAGGGATATAACACATAGAGGATAACAATACAATAAGGATCTTTATTGGACTATGGTATGTTAGTGATGAAGGAGCCAGTTCAGCATCTAGTCCAAGTGTCCAGTTGGTGGAACCCTCAGTCTCTAGTTTCAGCTCAGGCAAGAAGACAAGACACGCGGGTCTTCTCATGATAGATAAGATATAAAGACAAAATATTTCCTGAGCCCCTAACAGGAAGACGGCTTCTCTCCCGCTTGTACACATCGATGTCTGAGCAAGGATCTCTTCCAGGAAAAAGAGCTCCCACATTCCGAACACGCATATGGCTTCACTCCGGTGTGAGTTCTCTGGTGTGCGGCACGATTTTGAGTGGTGGAAAAACATCTCCCACATTCAGAGCAGGCGAATGGCTTTTCCCCCGTGTGACACCTCTGGTGAATAGTAAGGCTCATTTTGTGCGGAAAGCATTTCCCGCACTCGGGGCATGAAAACGGCTTTTCCCCCGTGTGCACGGGTTGATGTTTGATCAGGGCCCGCTTCGTGGCAAAACATTTTCCGCATTCGGAACACGAAAACGGCTTCACGCCGGTGTGAGTCCTCTGGTGCATCACCGCCGCCGATTTCTGTCGAAAGCATTTCCCACACTCGGGGCATGAAAACGGCTTCTCTCCGGAGTGCGTTCTCTGGTGTTTGACGAGAAAGGTCCTTAGGCAAAATCCCTTCCCACATTCCGAACACGTATACGGTTTTTCTCCCGTGTCCATTCGCTGGTGCCTGATAAGAGACGCTTTAGTGTTAAAACTTTTCCCGCATTCGGAACATGAAAATGGTTTTATTCCGCTGTGAGATCTCCGATGTTTGGCAGGAACTTCTCCGGGGGAAGGGGAACAGGAGAACTTTTTTCCTGCTCTTTGATGGGAGAGATCAGAAGAAGAGGAACCAGATGACAGATCTGCACAGTGAGGTGGGGGATGGGATTGGGGGCCAATGGGGGTCTCTTCTGAAAAGTCTGAAGTGATGTCCCCATCTTCTGCTTTACCGTGTGCCTCCACAATGGGGCCCTCATGCCTCGTGGTACACTCTCCGCACTGTCCGTCTGCATGACATAAGCGGAAACACCATTACAAGTGCAATCAAGAAGCAGAGATGCACCGAAATGCAAATTTCAAAACCGAAACGAAACCGAAATTAAAAAAAATTGTCAGGCCGAAACCGAAAATGTTTTTTAGTTTAAGTTTTTCTAATTTTTTAATCTATTTCATTTTTAATAAACTTTTTAATTTTTTGATAATTTATTCATTTTATATTAAATATATTTTTTTTTTACTTTTAGGGGCTTTGGGAAATATTAGAGGTCTAAACAGACCGCGGGTATTTCCCTTTTAAAATAGAAAAGAGATTGAGAACACAGAGTCCTCAATCTCTTTTTCTGTATCCCCTGTTATCCATGAACAGGAATCCTCTATACTGAGTGTTCCTGTTCATTCATAACATGAGGACAGAGTGTGCTTACTATAACTACAACTATGAATGAACAGGAAGTGATGTAGAGCACTTCCCATTCATTCATAATTGGGGATATAGTAACCATACCATGTCCTCAATTATGTACAAATACTCAGCGATCCCTGATCACCGAGTGTTTGCACTCACTCTCCTCTCTGACACGTTGTCACAGTGGGCTGGGCGGTGCAGGAGGAGAGCTCAGCCTCCTGTGACAGCGCGGGCTGTCTCCGCCCACACACCGCTCTGTGACAGGAAGCTGAACAGTGCAGGGAGGAGACACCGGCCTCACCGCCTGTTACAGTTTCTCTCCTCACCGCTGTGACACAGAGCAGCACCCAGCGGGGAGGAGACAAAGAACGGATGCTCCGCTGTATCGGCCAGAAAATGGCACTTTGGGCATAATGCCAAAAGTGCAATTTTCGCCCGATATATTCCGGCGGCTGATATATCGCTGCATTCCTACTCAGAGGCCTTTATATCATCGACTATAGCAAGGACAAAGATGACCATTTGACATGTGAACTCCGATCTCGATGATCCCCGCTAGAGAATGTCCAAAAATCTGTGTGTGATGAAATACTCGGATTGGATGCCATTAATTTATGGATTGTTTCTTTATTTAGAGTTAACTACTCACCTGTGCTGATCTCTATAGGAACTTCCTCCTCTTTGATCCTCACAAGTCCTTCTTCCTCCTCCTCAGCTTTTAGGTCTCTCTGAGTGTCTCCGGGGTCTGTGAATAGAGAGGAGAGTGAAGCCCCCTGTACTGAGATGTATGAGAGACCCCAGAGAGTGTGTGTGGGGGGGAGACTGGTCACGTCTCTTGGCTGGTAACCCACAATGACATGATGTGAGGAGGAGAGCCGGAGTCTAATAGAAGCTGATGGCTCCTGACTCCCCCCACTAGACACATTCCGTCCCCCCATTACTGTCTACTGACAGAGGAGGGGGGAGAAGAGGAGATTGTTGTAGTGACTGAACAAGGAGAATCTGGTCACGTCTCTTGGCTAGTAACCCACAATGACATGATGTGAGGAGGAGAGCCGGAGTCTAATAGAGGCTGATGGCTCCTGACTCCCCCAACTAGACACATTCCGTCCCCCCATTACTGTCTACTGACAGAGGAGGGGGGAGAAGAGGAGATTGTTGTAGTGACTGAACAAGGAGAATCTGGGACTCTTTTCTGGATTTAGTGTTTATTACTCACCTGTGCTGATCTCTGGAGGGGTTTCCTCCTCTTTAATTCTCACATGTTCTCCTTCCTCCTCCTCAGCTTTGACTTCCCTCTGAGTGGCTCTAGTGTCTGCGAAAAAAGATGAGAGTGAAGCCCCCTGTACTGTAGTGACTGAACAAGGAGAATCTGGGACTGTTTTCTGGATTTAGTGTTTATTACTCACCTGAAGTGATTTCCTCATCCTTACACAGCTCCTCACCCCCCACATAAGTCTCTTCTTCTTCTTCTTCTTTCACTTCAATTTTAACAACAATCAGACCTTCACCCTGTATAAGAAACCACACAGACTATATTATGTAACTAGCTTAAGGTGAGGATGAGTACCAAGTCTAAGATCCATAGTTCCATCTACCTGATCCTCCTGAGGGATCTCCTGATGTTCCTGTGTGGAATCCCCGGAATACAGAGGATGGGCCTGAGGGATCTCCTGATGTTCCTGTGTGGAATCCCGGGAATACAGAGGACGGGTCTGAGGGATCTCCGGATGTTCCTGTGTGGAATCCCGGGAATACAGAGGACGGGTCTGAGGGATCTCCGGATGTTCCTGTGTGGAATCCCGGGAATACAGAGGACGGGTCTGAGGGATCTCCGGATGTTCCTGTGTGGAATCCCGGGAATACAGAGGACGGGTCTGAGGGATCTCCGGATGTTCCTGTGTGGAATCCCGGGAATACAGAGGACGGGTCTGAGGGATCTCCGGATGTTCCTGTGTGGAATCCCGGGAATACAGAGGACGGGGACATCTCTCTGGGGTATTTCTGTTCCTGGATCCATCTGTAGGAAACACACACACTGACTGAATACATTGTTTCTATGTCTTTATATCAGAGGATGTGTGTATCTAGGGGGATCCTCAATACTCAAGAAATGAAAGTCTCCTCTTACCCGGTGATGTGAGGGGCGGCCAGTTCTCCATCATGACGTCCTACAGATCCTTTTAAGTACTCCCACTTAGAAGTCTGTCCGTCTTTGTGTGTGAAATGTGGGGTGGTTTATAAAACTCACACTGTCAAAACAACAACAAAAAATGCCCCCAAGGTAGTTGAATTGAAAGACACAACTAACAGACATCCCCTCCTATACTAGAAGCTACCCCCCCCCTCCCCCTGCACCCAGATGTCAGTGTATGTAGAACGTATCACCCCCCAAGAACCCAGATGTCAGTGTATCAGCTCTGCCAAGCCCTGCTCCGAATCAGCCTGAGCTCTAGCTCCGCCCCTAAGGTACCACTGCCCCGCCCTCATCGTGCAACATTCAAGAATAATGTCTGCTTATTATGAGAGGAGAGCACTTTCCCAGCACTTTCTGTGGATTGGGTTTATGCAGATTTCCACAGGCACGTGTATTTACCTTCCTTTCAGCCGTTGTGAATGCCCTGTGTATTCTATGAGTCACCCTAGCTGCTATTTACACCCTATTAGGGCAGAAATGTGGTTTACCTCCCCCTCACTGAACACACACTCTGCAGCCTAACACCACTCCACGAAGATTCTTCCTTTCTTAACACTGGTTTCGGGCTTCAACAAAATGGCCGCCGTCCTACCTGAGATTCTTTTTCCGGTCACATGACGGTCAGGCGGCCTCTAGTGGTGGCTCTGTCTCAGCACTGTAGCTTCAGGGCCTAAACAAGATTAAGCAAGCGGTTGGCAGTCACTATGGCAACCAATAGGCAGCTAGGCGGCATAAAGCCGGAAGTGAAAGGAGGGCTTCCGGTGCAGGGGGAGCACAGTGATAATAGAGAGGATGGGTTTCAATCAGCCTGAGCTAGTAGTAATTTATCATCATTTTCCTCTGTAGAGCGGGCCAGAGCAGCCAATCAGGTGTCCTACCGTAGTACAGAGCAGTCAAGTAAAACAGGTATCCTAGTACAGAGCAGGAGATGAGAGGGAATGTCTGGTTGCCATTGGCAACTGTTCATGTCATCATCATCTGGAGCTGGTGCAGCTAACCTTTGACCCTCCAGCTGTGGTGAAACTACCAATCCCATTCTGCGGTTCAGAGTCATGCTTGTGGCTGAGTCTTGCAATGCCTTATGGGAGTTGTAGTTTAACCACTGGAGTGCTGAGGTTTGGCTACTCCAATCTACAGGCCTCAAGTCATTGACTTTGATCATTTGGTTCTGGCTTTATAACGGTACTTTAGCTAGCGAGCACCTGCCATAGCGTGCAAGTACGCACAGGGAGGCTTCGCAGAAGAATTCAGGGGCTTCCACCAGTAGATCTGCGAGGTCCTCCTGGTACTGGAGGGAGCCGCCATAAGTCACTTCCTGCCGTAGATTTTATGACCATCCAGCAGTAGATCGGCTTTACCAGGCGCAGGCAAACATCGACTTCAAGTCCTTCTTCTTGTCCAATGGTAGACATTTATAAAACCTGGAGCAGCTGTGCACGGCAACCAATCAGCTTCTCTCTTCAGTTTGCTCAGTTAAGATTTGAAAATGAAAGAGAAGCTGATTGGTTGCCATGCACAGCTGCTCCAGTTTTGATAAATTCCCCCTCACTGTATACATCATACAACAGGCGTGCCTACATGCAATACCAAAACCAACCACAAGATGGCGCCGAAGAGAAATATCTCGATTCACAGCCGCTTCCAGACTGTCTTCCTGTAACCACTTCCTGCCCGGAGCAATTTCTTACATTTGCACACACATGATAACATCAGAATTTGTGGCTAGAAAACAGCTTCAGACCCCAAAACAAGTATATATTTTCTGAAAGCAGAGGCCCTGTAAGAATAAAAAGATGCACGTGGGGAAAGGGGAAGACTGTGCCCATTGACACAGGAAGTGATGTAATGCACATCACTTCCGGGTCCAGTGATCGGAGAGATCAGCGGCTGGAATCCTGCTGAACTCCCTCCGATCAATCAGGGGAGACCTGCCGGCTCACACAGGGGACAGTGGAGCCCTGGAAGCAGACAGCGGCATGAGGGGGGGGGGGACACGGCGCTGCACCTTACAAGCGATCTGGTGCCTGTACAGACTCCGAATTGCTGGTATAGAAACAGCAATCTTCTGCAGCGGCAGCCGTGTTCTTGGTATAACCACTTCCAGCGGATGACGTGTACTCGCTGGAAGTGGTTAATAAACTCCCAACATCTCTCAGCCCTAGGAAAAGGAAACAAGTGCATCTTGGGTGCTCAGGGTCCATCTTAGAAAGAGGAATCCACGGCATGTGCCTGGAGGAAAGAGCCCAAATCCCTCTTAGGCAGCATTGCTGGTATGAACGGACTTGTTTATATTTACGTTTTATATACGGACTGTATGTTTCTATGTTCTGTATCATCAGCATCTCCCCGCCGTGTTTTGTTCATAAAGCGTCAAGATTTCACTCACTCCGGCTTCTTGCAGCATAGGGAGGTTTAGCTGCATGGGGAACTATAAACAGGCCGCAGGGCAATGGGGACCGAACTTTTATGTACCAGCTCCATGGTGGAAGTGGAGTCCGTAACAGGAATGCTGGTGGCTCTTTTTTTAACACAAGGGATACCTACAAATTCCTCAGATACAGGGTAGAAACACTTGCGGATACATAAGGACCTATCAGGGTGTTTCCATTATTGAAGGATGATGTCATCAAACTCTTGATGGCTTGGGACAACCCAAGTGCATTTGTGCCTATGGAAGCTGACCGTTGCCAAGTTGGAAGACTCATCAAGCTTTACCATGTCAATGACAACCTGAGTGAGACCATTGCTTTCCGTTTGCTGGGAAGACTTTCTCAAGCTCCCTCTTCTTCAGGAGAATCCTCTGGAGACAAACCCCCAATGTCACCGGGAGGTTGGGATTAAAGCAGAACTCACGCTCTGAGAGGTTCAGGCGATGGATTAGAAATTCAGTGAGGTCTAAATTAGGGGATGCACCGATACCAATACTAGTATCGGTGCCGAGTACTCCTACTCGCCCAAAAGCTATGATGTCTAGCCCGATACTTCCGGTATCAGGAAGCCGGCAAGCGCGTCATTACCGATACTAGTATCTGTATTGGTGCCGAGTATTTGGGCAACGACTTACTCAAATGCTTTGACACCTAGCCCATACTTGAGCTCTCGGTATCAGAAAGCCAGGCATCCAGCCATTACATGCTGCCCGGCTTGCTGATTGGCCAGGAATCCGACTCCATGCTCCCTCATTACTTGTGACGAGAGCGCATGGAACCGGCTTCCTGGCCAATCAGGAAGCCAGGCGCCGTGTAATGACACGTCGTCTGGCTTTCTGATTGGTCGGAAGCCGGCTTCCCGGGCAATCAGGAAGCCCGGGCCGCATCATTACACAGCGCCCGGCTTCCTGATTAGCCAGAAAGCCAGCTCCATGCTTTCTCGTCACCTAGTGATGAGAAGCATGGGGACGGCTTCCCTGTTAAATCAGGAAGCCGGCTGGCGAGTCTTTACACACCACCTGGCTAACTGAATGGGACTTCCGGTACTCGGTATCGGCGAGTACCGAAGAAAAAATATCGGTACTCGATACGAAAATACCAGTATCCGTGCATCCCTAGTCTAAATCCTGCCCAATATGATTCGTGTTCAGAGCCAGAGGACTGATGTGGAAGCAGAAGGCAGGGAGAACTTATAGGGTTCCTTACAAGGAGGGTGGTTGTATATCACCTTTCCAACACACAGGGTGACCGAGTCAGACAAGGAACTTTCTACAATTAGGGTCTGCTGCAAAAGTGTCCACCTCTCCTGTTCCTGAGGTTCCAAATGATGGCTCCTCAAGAATCATCCAATGGGCATTCCTCAAAGTCCCCTTACAGGCATTGCAGAGGGGTCCCATCTACAAGAGAACATAGGGTTGCTGCAGGAACATCTGTAATAGGTGACAGTAGAGTGAGGTCTGTGTGGTGACCCGCGTCTCCTCTTCTATCAGATACGTTGTCATTGCTTATAAACAGAATTCAGTCAAAAATAAAGTCAATAAAACACCCTAAACCCAAAGTGACCGTCTTTTATAAAAGACACGAGCAATGTGTAAAATAGCCGACCGACTCTAGGACCAGTGACCAAGAGAAAGGAGATAACTATAAGTAGTGGCCCTGGAGCATTAGACCTTGCTTACAGAGGGAATGGGTGGTTCTCAACCGGTGTAACCTCAGGACCCACATTTGTCCTTGGCCATTAAGGCCCGGTTCACACCTGGGCGTTTCCTATGTGTATGTTTTACGCGCGTTTTTTCAGGACGTTTTTTGAGCGTCTTGTCTAGCGTTTTCGCACACTTGAAAACGCAAGACGTACGCACGTTTTTTGATCGGCTACAGAGGCGTACAATGAAAAAGAATTCCGGTCTTTACGGAGGCGTCCAATGAAAAACACTTCCTGAGACGCAGCATTTCCTGTTATACAAAGGGCCGTGTGCTGTGTGCAGTTTCTTTGTTATAGAGGAGAGTGTTGTGTGCAGTGATTATGGAGCTTGTGAACCGACGACGAACTGCAGCAATCGTTGCGGCAGTGCGGCTTATACGTTTGAGGAGAAGGAGACTGAGCAGGCGAAGGTTCTGGGTCCATCCTGTGATTGCCATCCGAGAACAAAGAGGCCAGTTCTGGGCCATGTATGAAACCCTCCGTGGCCATGAGGAGAAATTCCTTTCCTACACGCGCATGTCCATAAATAGGTTAGTACATATACAATGCTTAGTGCTTATTGTTGTTGTGTCCCATATAATAGTAGCATCATAGATTTTATTGGAAGATATGTATGTATATGTATATGTCTTTCATGTATGTATATTGCTAATTGCTGGTATTGACCCCCAACTTTTATATGTTACAGTTTTGATGAGCTGCTCGGAATGATGTCTGTCCAATTGGAGTGCCGGGACACATTCATGAGAGACAGCATTCCTCCAGCCGAAAGATTGATCATAACTTTGCGGTAAGTTCACTAACATCACTCCTATGTTTATTTATAGACCAATCAAACATTGTAAACAAGAAGCATCAAATGAGTTATCTGTAATTGTAAATGTGTGCTCTGTGCGATGTGCAGTGGCTGTAGGTATGAAATGAGTTATTTATATGTAATTGTATATTATTGCTCTGTGCCCTGTGCTGTTGTGCCCTATGCGTTGTGCCCTGTGCGTTGTGCTGTTGTAACCTGGGTGTGTTTGTGATATGCAGGGTGACGTATGGCATGTGTGACCCTCCTACATATGTGTACCATATGTGTAAAAAATCCTTAAAATAATTTAAAACCTTTTCAAACTGTAACCAAACAAACACACAAACTCATTGTTAAACAGTCATAAAATGTTATAATTAAAAAAATATTATAATTGAAAAATTAGCATACACCAAAAGTGAAATAAAAACAAGGCCATAACGGCAGCCAAAGGGGAAAGGCATTTTTCCTGCTCAAACGGGTTCAACACACCGTATTTGGAGGAGAAACTGAAAAGGGTGCCTTCAGTCGAACATCGAACTACGGAATTTGCAGGGTCAAATTTATAAATTTGGATAATTTGGGAGCGCAAAGTTAGGCTCGTCCACCTGCATGTCCTCCCTCATTCCACGTGTGGAACAGCCAGCTGGTATTTGGGCGGTGGAGGTGGAGCTATGTGCCAGGCTGGTGGAGGGATAAACATATGGGGAATGTGGGCGTGGGTGCCATGTTTCTGGGTGGTGCTGATGGCGCATGGGTGTGTGTGGGTATGCTTGGGAAGTGTGTGTGTGCATGGGTGTGACATGCTGAGGTGGATGTCTAATTGGTGGGGCTGGTATGGGTGCAGTGGCATGTTCTACAGAGTCTTCCGGGAAAATTTCCGAGTCAAGGACTCTGGTGATTGCGTCCCGTATTGCCCTCTGTCTGATTAAAGGCGCCATTTCCAGTTTTCGCTCCAAGCTGAGCAGGAAAAGTGCCGATTTAGAAAGCTTGGGTACAGGATGGGCCATCGAGTCAAGGACTTCTATGAGCCTGTCCTCCTCTCTTTCAGGCCTCTGCCTACGGGGCCTGAGATTTGTACGTCTGCGTACAGGTGCCCGAGCTGGTGGGGCAGACGGGGTTGGTATTGCTGCTGGTGGTGTACGCTTAGGTGGGGGTGGACTCTGTGTCGCCTGTGTGGTCGAGTCCTCCTCCTCGTCCTCTTCCTGCCTCTCAGTAGGCTCCCAGCTACTGTCATGAGGAAACAATACATTAGTATGTGCAATATATAACTCTCTGCATGTTATATAAAACAATATCCATGACCGTCATAAACATTGTCATTGACGTGACATGTAGGGTAACCTCCTCAGTGTAACCCGCAGTTTTAAATAAAGAATCTCCTTTACTTGTGAAATAAACTCCAGTGATCCGTGTGTGTATCAAATTACTTGTCACAAAAGTTCAACGTGATCATTTGCTCAAAGGTGCATTTGAATAGATCATTAATGAGAAAAAAAAACGGTGAACGATCACTTCAAAATATAGCAACCAGAATGTGCCTTTTAAATAAAGTTAATAAGAAAAGTGAGTGAATAAATCACACCTATATAAGGCAACCCAAAAAATAACTGAAATAAATGCCGCAAAAGCAGTGATATACAATTGTTGCAAAGTGTACTTATAAGTAAATGAGTGTTCAAAAAACAAACGCTAATCAGACTAGCGACTAAATCATCACTTCTTTCAAGTGACACCAATAAGTTCATCAAACCAGTGATCAAAAGAAATTATAAAATTATATATATAAAAAAAACTTTTCCGTGAGATTGCAATCCACCTGTGTGAGGCTGTGCATTCACTCCAACTGCCCTGCTAATGGTAAGTATCTGTCCTGATGGTCTGGATCAGACTGGGATAGTAAACCTCCCAAGTGTTCCAGAAAAAAAAAAGAAGTATCAGTTCAAATGAAAATCTTCAAAACTTCAGTAATAGAAGCCTTTATACACAAAACGGGGGAGAAAGGAGTCTCGCTTCAGTAACAAATTATGTGGATTTAAGCTTCTGGGTTGCAAATCATATTTCAAACAGCACAATCCCCCAAAATATAGAAATCTCATAAATGGAGCTATCCAATAAGCAAGTAACCCAGTATTATGTAATATATCAAAAAATCTTTAATTAAACATAGAAAAGTAAAAGAAAAACACCTGATACATGACCATTAAAATCATTAAAAAGAAACACAGCTTCACTTGGGTAACCCAAAGTAAGGACAGGATCATACGGGTTAAAAGTGCCAGAAAGATGACAGGCAGTCACTGGTGTGAGTGGATACACTGTATTAGAGCCGTGGATACAATTGTGTCGATATGTAACAGGATTACTGTCACGTCTGCAGTTTTTACAATAGTGGATCTCAACTGCGGAGTAATAGGATCAATCAGATACGAATCTCAGGCGTCACTCACAATCTCAACGGTGAGTTTGAGATTCTACCATCACGTGATCAAAGGAAAAACAACACAATTCAACACAGTACTATTGCTTCATAGACTGTGGGTTGGTAGTTGAAACACTAGAATGCAGTGGCTGCGGCAGGGTTAAGAGCGGATACTCAGTAAGTCTAATACACAGTTCATATCAGCCTGCAGGCAGGCAGATGAGAGGTGCTCTCTCACAGATAGGGTACTTGCGATTGGCAGTAGCTGAGTGATGGCTGAGACTCCCAGGTGACTCCAGTAGCAGAACTGAGCAGGTCCGTCTTCCAGATGGCAGCAGGGGGATGAGAAGGGTCCGGTTGGTGACAGTC